ATCTTTCTTTGACCCTTTCACTCTCAGCAGTGACTAAGACATAATTTCTCCTTAGAGCATGAACACAATTCAAGCAGCCATGTAAAGAGAATTGCAAAAAATAGTAACTGGTAGATTATCATTTGCTCCAGCACCAAATTCTCAAAAGAAACTTAATATGAAATATATAGCCTGCAGCAGACAGTAAGGTGAATTTTTATCAAGATATTGAGAGTGAAAGAGTTAACTGAATACCCAGAAATGTCAGTCAGTTTCTTTGTGGCCACAACGAAGAAATTCTTGAGTATTGTCTGATTAGAACGTTGTTGCCGGGGAGTTACTCCTCAAACACGTCATGAAGGAAGGGGACGTGAGGGCTAAAGTTCCTAGAGGGCGGTGGACATGGAAGGGATGTGTCGTTTGTCGGTCTCCTTGGACGGGGCGAACTTTGAATAAAGACCCTGGGTACGAGGTTCGGAATATGCTTCATGTATGGTGAGTGATTTCTTTGAGCGTTGTCATGCAAGACCGACCACAACTCCTTCGGCGAAAGGCGATGGAAGTTCTGTTGATTTGTGAATTTATAGCATGACATGAACCTGAAAACTAGATGAAGGAAACATTGAGACGGTTTTACTTGGTTGATGGCTTGCACTCATGGCTCATGGTGATTCTCGGGTTGTAGTTAGGGGAGGAACCATACTGAACAAGTTTAGGAGATTCTTGGAGCGACTGTCCCAAGAAATCGAGGAAGACGACTTAGACGGCTTGAAATTTCTACTGCAGGGACTAATTCCATTAGGACATCTGGAGAAGTGTAGCAAACCAAGAGACTTGTTTTCGAGAATGATACGACAGGATCTCTTGGGAGAGGACAACTTAGACTACCTTGAGGAACTTTTAACGGGCGTTAATAGGCTCGATCTTGTGAAACGTGTAAGAGCTTATAGACAGAGTGAATCACCAGGTAATGTGACAGCATTGGATTTTCTACATTTTTCTTTGTAATTAGAATACTGCAGTTATATCAATGGTTGGTTTTTATATCATAAGATCAAGGACTTAATTAATTCATAAAGGTGCCCGAGATGAAAGTAGCAGTGTTATACGTCGATCAATTCGAAGCGTCAACGCCCCCCCCCCCCCCCCCCCCCCACCCCTTAGGCATTTAAAATTTTGCAGATTGGTTTGTTCAAATTCCTACCCCCCAAATTTGGGCCAACATTGTGTTCAAATGCCTTACCCAAATGTCCAACTCAAATGCCAGATTTGATGGTGAACATGTTTATTCTGCACATAAGACTTGACACTTCAGATTTAAATTCCCCATCTCATCCTGACAAGATTCAAATTCCTCACCCCAGGGCAAGGATGACAGTCAAATGCCCCCCGGTTGCCTGATGCCCAGGGAGGGGGATGTTGAAGCTCCAACTTGATCAACACCAAACACTGAATACTACACCTTGGCAGAACAGAAACCTCTCTACAAGGGCTGGAAACAACTACCAGGGGACTGAGAGCTTCTGTTGTAATCCAGACATGTTCCTCCGGGAAATTTTCCATTCAGCAGCACATGAGTGTTACCCAAATTAGCAAGATTAGGTCCACCTCACATGATCCTTCCAACTTCTCAGACCTTGTATAGAGGGGTAGCAAATGGTGGCAAGAAAACTGTGGAGTTATAAAACTTCAAAAGCTATTCCCTGAAATTTTGCAATGGGTATGTCATCATAACCATGGTTGACTATGAACAGCACAAACTTAGTCCATCACTGATTAAAGCTGAACAGTTTGTTAGGCTGAAAAGAGGGACTTCTCTTAGTTAAAATTTAATGTAGTGATTATTACTTGTTCTTTATTCGTTTAGTTTATACTGAGCTCAAAACTCAGGGATATAGAATACCTGACTGTGGAATGTTTCAGGCTCTTATCATGAAGTAGCTGGTTTTTGTTGACCTGTACATCAGATTTGAAATAGTGCAAATTTATTTAAGGTTGATTATCATAAATTTTTGAGAGAAATGGAAAATGTCTCAGTCATGAGGAGTTAAGACCAATCAACCAGTATTTCTGTTCATGCTGTGGACATTTAAATCAAAGTTTATTGTCAGTGATGTTGAGAAGTCAGTAAAAGTGGAACAATGTTCAGAAAAAGGTGTAAAACAGTTAAACTCTATAAACTTTAAGATAATCAGTGGACTGCAGTTCAATGTATCCCAGCCCCGACTGGACTAACACATTCCAACATTGCAATACAAAATAAATAGAAAAAGAATACAGTGGTTTCTCACTGTAATTCATTGTTTTGGAGGACAGTTAGCACTGTTATATTTTAAATAAAAGAAAAAAATTGAAGAAAGTTTTGAAGGATTCAAGGCACTGAGGGTCAAATTAAACTAAGAGTGCTAAGTACAGGAAATGCATGACAATTAGATTCAGGGTGACATGATTCAATGAGAATCAGTTGGGGGGGGGGGGCAAGTAAGAGTTAGGGTAAAAGAGGGTTGACAGGAGTCAATTGTTTTTTATGTAGTTCACTAACAAAATGTCCATTTTACCAAAGATAAATTTTATTTGTTACTTCTGCAGCTGTGGAGCTGGTTTGTTTCTCTTTTGGTATGCAAGAAGCAGATGTCAATGTGCAACAAAATCTTGTGCGTAGCATGAATGAGTTTCTGGGTTTTGATCCCTCAGAAATACAACTAGAAGGAAGTGAGCAAGTGGGAGTCAATTGGTGGAATTTAAATTTTAAAATCCCCAATAGGAAGGAAATGGTAGACAACCTTCGATGGGCTGCCATTCACAAACTCCCTTGGCTTAACCATTGTGGGGTCAAAGCAGTGAGAATTGGCAATGAATCCCAAATTCTATTGCAGCCAATTACACGCTCACTCTCTTTAATCACTCCAGGTGAGTACTTGTAACAGTGTGGATGTTAACTTATAAAAATGACAAAGTGGAATCAACCTGCAAAATAGTCATCACAATTAGTTACTTAATATGTTAATTGAAAGTAAAAGATGACAAACTTTGGAGATGAGGAAATTACTAAAATGATAATAGAGAAAACTAACGTAGATGCTCATGTTCATAAATGAAAGCAAAGTGTTGGGCTTTGACTTCAAGCATCTAACTGCAAAATTGGAACAGGCTGTGGTGTTTGAACCCTCTTGAGAATTAAAAAAATTTCAGTCAAGAATATATCTTTGCATAAGATATTTATGTAGTCTTACTGTATGTCAATCAACGATGACTCATTTTGAGTCAAGGTTAGAGTTAAATTTTTTTAAGCAATATTCTTCTCAGCATAACAGGTATGGGGATGTATAGAGGGATATAAAAAATTATCTGGTTGATTACTGTTAGTAAAATGTGTTTTTCAATAGGGTGATATTTTTGTAGCCCAAGTACAGTTAGTTGTTTAGATTTGTTGTTTTGATATTAACCCATTTCACTCTCAAGATCCCAATATCAATTGCTCAGTCAATCACACAGTTCTTACAGTCGTCCTTGTAGCCCCAACAATTTGGTGTTAGATCAGAGTGCCTAGTTGTTGCTTTGGTGAGTTTTTCCTCATCACCTCTCACCTTGACAATTTAATGAAATTATGAGGAGAACTCAGAAGGAAATAACTAGACTATAAGAAAATCTATCAGTAACTTTTTCCTTGATGTGTCCTTTCTTTGCCATCTCATCCTATTTACAGCTGATATACAGACTAGTGTACAAAATTGGAAAGAATGTTCTGTGCATTTTGATTTGCTGTTCTGTTTTGTGAATGTGTTTTAATTTTTTTTCTGTTTTCTTTGTTACATATGTAGATTGCAATCACAATGACAAAAACCTGGACCTGATTCTAGTTGTTGACTGTGCTTTATCAAATCCAGTGCTGTTAGGACGTCTGAAGACTCAACTGAGGTATCTGATCAATGATATTTTTGACAGTTTCCATCTCAGACTGGCACTCATCAGTTACCAAAACCATGAAAGGCATCCACGCCCTGGAATGCGATCTGGTGATCCTCAAATCAATAAAACAGCACTCATACAAAAATTTACCGACAGAAGGGATGCCATGAAAGAAACCATAGAGAACCTGCGTCGTCTTGGAAGGCCAGGTGGAACAAGAGGGCTAGCAGATGGACTGGCACTAGCAGTCCAACTCAGTGAAGTTGGTGATGACGATGATAAGTGTCGCAGAAATGCTATCAAAGTCTGCATATTACTGCGTGAGTGTAAAGAAATTCATTTGTAATGAATTATTAGAAAAGCTACAGGGACTCACTGCCTGGATAATGCTTACAGCTGTAGGATTTTGCCTTGCCTATATAATGACCTCTGTGGCTGCAAAGTATAGGGTTACTTCCTTGAGATTGTGGTAAAGCTATGAATGAGACAAGACTGCTTTTATTTATGCTTTCACATAGAAATATTTAGATTATTATTGTAATTTTATAGGATTCATGAATCATGACTAATAGCATTTTGGCTTCATCTATTTTATTGCAGCCATATTGGATCAAAGAAAAACTCTTGAAAATTTTCAGTGTGAACATGGCCATGATGTGATGAAGCTCTGTCATCAGCTTACAAAGAATTATGTCACTCTTCATACTATTGTGGTCCCCCAGCCAGAGCCAGCATACATTCCGGACCCAGCACATGACTTAGTGACAGCCTTTTTCACAGGAATTTCTCTAAAGACAGGTGGTAAATTTTTCCAGATACCCGATGTCAAATTTATTTTTGAGGTAAGAATTTAAAGGCTCTTTACCCTTACACTCCCAAGATCAGAGAGATACAGTATTGTAGATAGATAGATAGTTTTATTAAAATTACCCTTGCAGCCCAAGGGCTGAATAACAACAATTTTTACAAGAGTGTAAAATGTAAATTAATCATAGCTACAAATTATATAATAATAAATTAAGAAAGTTAATTCATAAGAATTCAACAATAATAAAGGTTATCATTATGTAAACACTAATTTTAATTAAGATAAAACTAAAATTATTTGAAATCAGATCAATTAATATATGAGTTGTACAAGGACATGCTATTGGCAATGGCTTACAATAAAACTGTCTCTAAAATGATTGGTGTTAAAACGCAGGACTTGGAGCTTGTGATTTTCCATGTTCACAACATGCCAAGGCAAGGTGGCGGAAGTAGTGAATAAAGTTTGTGATTGTTGTTATTACTTATCTCTTTAAACATTGAATTACAATTGCCTCTCTCATGTCATACAAGGTAGGTATGTTAAAAACTTCTAAAGCCTGTCTATAAGATAAATCATTAGTGCTTATTATGCATAGTGCTTACTTCTGCTGGTGTTCTAACTGATTGGAGAGATATTGTGGTAGAGCAGTATCAAAGACTGGACATGCATATCGTGCAACTGGGCATATGCAAGTGGTGTAGAGACTCAGAAGGTCATTAGCTGGCACTTTTGCATGCTTTAATTGGCTAAGAAAGTAGAGATGCGCTGTGACTTTCTATTGTGTATACAATGTTAGTGAAGTAAGTAAACTTGAAGGAATTTCTTGTCCTTTTGTGGTTTTTTTTAAAGATAATTTTGCAAGTGAATTGCTGGCAAAATTTCAAGGGACTACTTTTCAGGAATTTTCCAAACTCTTGTTTTTATCCATAGGAACTTATAAAATCTGATTTTCTGTGGATGTTAATAAGTTCTAAAATTTCAAGGGAAAGTTTTCCCAAAAGTGTGTGGCAACTATCCTAAGAAAATTCCCTTCAATTGATAAGTCTTGCCAAATGAACTTCAAGTAAATTGCTTTCATGACTTGATTTTTTGTCATTTGGTGCACAAGTCAACTGAAATCTGTTCATTGACTTGAATCAAATCCTGACTGGAGGGTTTTCTTTGAAAAATGTAATTGCTTGTTGATAACTTCATTAATTTATCATTTCACTATAATTATCATGATAGTCATTTTACCAGTTAAGGTCATGAGAACCTGCAAAATGTGCTATGATATTACACCATAGAACAAGTCAAAAAATACGGAGCAACAAAATTGCCACTATGAGCACTCCAAATTTTGATTATTTTTTTCCCTTTTTTAGGCTTGCTTTTTAAAGAAACAACTATTAAGCACAGCATATTTTTTTTGTTGGTCACAAGTGAAACTTGGTGAATGGTTTTGTTTTTGTTAACCAAAGTTGGTCTTTTACGTCTTCCTTTTGTGTCTTTTACGTCTTCCTTTTGCGATCAATATGATGTACAGATAGGCCATTGGATGTGTTTTGCAAACTAAATCAAAGCACCAAGAAATGAAATAGTAGTGGAAGAATAAATCTTTTATTTCCTTGCCCCTTTGGGGCTTGGAAAAATAATAGTGAGTTGATACAACTTGCCAAATGTCCACATCTATTAATTGAAACAGTGTATGTTAACCATTGAATAAGGTGACTAGTATATGATTCTCATTGACTGGTTTGACATGCAACTTTGCATTTATTGTATGTATTAGTCTTAGAGCGGAAACAGCCTAATATTATCTATTTATAAATTTCTGGTTAGTGAAGTGGTCAAATGAGTCTTGT